CCCCCCCCGATAGGTCTATGGATCCGCCACTGAATAGAATTCTAAGTTGCAACATATATTAGATACAACTGGCCTGGCCATGTCATGAACAAATTTTGCTTCCGCCGATTTTATTCATTTTCAAAGCTAAATATCCACATTCATATAAATTACTACGCTGAACATTACGCTTTAAATAAAGTGCAGTATATATGTACGCCTTACAATAATAATATACAACATTTGATATAGCGCCCTATCTAATAGGTTGCTCGATTGAAATGTTTAGTCTCGGTTAACAAGACTCTTTTTGTCTGCGCAAGCTACGCCGAACACAGAACAAGCGTCTGGTTGAACGAGACTATGCCAGGTTATGCAGGCCTCAGACCACAACTAATTAATTCTACTATATGTTACTACCAAAGGAAAAATGAAATTAAAATGTTTTAAAACTTTGCGCAGGGTCTGGTTCCTATTTCATATTGTAGATAAATTCAAACTGAACCTACAGTGAGCTGGGAAGTACCTCATGATCAGCATTTAAGAACGATAATTTCATTTGAATGTCACTGCCCTGCTTGTACATGTATAGGGGAAAATACCAAAAATCACAAAATATCAATGCGCAAGCCTCATCACTCATCGTGTCCAGCTGCGAATACAAACTTGAAAACTGGTTCAGGAAAAATAAAATAACTAGAATAGATATTGTGGAACATTTCTATGTAAAAAAAAGGTACATATCTGTCATAGATCAGACAGGAGAAATTATTTCGTAACTGACCAGAAATGTCCTTATGCACTACATTCGTACCCGGAAATGTTCGATTTCGTGTGTATTCTCGTTCAACTAGACGCTGAAAGCTTGCGCAGACAAAAAGGGTCTTGTTGAACGAGACTGTTTCCTGTGTACAATCAGTGCCCAGAAGGAAAGACCCTATTATATTATCATGCTTGACGAAACAGCAGTCGTTTTGAATTCATTTATCAGCAAACTCTGCAAATATGATCTTTAGTTCAAATTTCACGGCCCTCTGTTGCAAACTAGTTCACGTGTCCAATTGACTCCATAGTGGTGTCCATATGGAGTGTGCAAAAAAAGTTCGGATAAAATATGAATTGATCCGCAGTCTGGCTTACTCGTCACAGAAAAAACCCACCTGCCATTGATTGATGTAACGTCAATTTAAGTGTCAAATAGGAATATATCTACTTGCCACACACTGAATTAGTGAATTTGCTTTTTTCTCTCAACCATGTCCAAACTTTCGACGATAATTTAAATCACATACCTTTGTGACGCTGTAACTCTGCAAATTGAATTAACTGAGCACATATCTTGAAGATCTCAAAAGATGATCAGTTTTGATTTATACATATTTTATTTAAGGATTGAATCTTGCTTTGGTTGATTTCATGGGGTGATGAATTGAGTTGGTCTTGAAATGACCTGCGATACCAGACTTAGACACTTTGACAGATATATGTCTGGTGTGGGGTCAGAGCGCACTGCTTTATGAAAACATGGAATTCTCCAACACTAAATGGTGTCGGAGAGTTTTGAGGTATTGACAGCAAAAGTCAACTATGACACAATACATACCTCACATATATCGATAAATGGATTATTTATTGATCCAAATCCTCTCTTATTATCACCAACATCTGCTTAATTTCATCAGAAGTGTCATCGGTTTACATTCGTTCAACATTATAGGTCAGTGTATAGTGATAATAAGAGCGGATTTGGATCAATAAATAAGTCATTTATCAATACATGTGAGGTATGTATTGTGTCATAGCCGGTTTTTGTTGTCAGCACCTCATAACTCTCCGACACCAAACGGTGTCTGGTGTCGGAGAACTCCACGTTTTCATATAGCAGTGTGCTCTAGCCCCACACCCGACATTTATCTATCGGACTGTCCAGACTGATGCACTGTCAATAACATGAGACATAATTAAAAGATATTTTTCGACATGTCTGTATGGGTGGGTGAAAGGGGGCGGGACTACAATATTTTACCTATTGTTAGTCTACTTATGTATCCAACACCACCCAAAGTTAATCAGCTTGTGGAGAATTATTTTGCATCATACACACTTTTATGTAACAGGTCACCAAAGGATTATCGAGACATTTGCTTGGTTTAACCATTGACCGAAATAGCCGAGTAGGCAAATACAAAAATAACCGTCACTGTGCGAGGAGAAACATCAACGTTCAGAAACACCTGTATAATACAAGTTTACATGCAAACGAAAAGATTAAGGAGTTCGTGCATTTGTGATCTGTAACAATTCCTCGGGACAAATTCAGCGTGGTGATTAAGGTTGTTTTCAGTGTGTTGAATATATTCAACATTGTAACTGATGCTCATTATCCGACAAGCGCAATATGTTCACATGAATTCAACTTACCGAAGATAATCAAACGTGTATCTAATGCTGTATTCAACTTACTAAACGTATTCAACTGTGTGGCATATTCACCCGTGTTGCTTATTCAATCGTGTACATATTCAACTGTGTGACTTATTTATCTTTGTGGCTAAAACTCACACTAACTTGTATTCAGGCGTGTGGAAAATGATATTTCCTACTTACCGAACATTTTCAACCAAAGTAACTGATTTGAATTTCACTTAGTGAATAAACTCAACTGAAAGACTACTGTCGAATCGACATGCAAAACGTTCGACATTATTGGCGCCTATGACGATTAAGTCTCCGTTCTAAAAGAAGTGTAATACATTTACGTGATGGCGCCATCTTTCCCTGGTAGTCATGAATGGATGAATTTCGTGACCTTGATATTTTTAGATATATCTGCCATAACAAGCGTTTTGGTGATGGTGTCTTGGATAAGATGCAAAAAAGTACCAAAACAGATGAAGATTCTTATCATTAATTTGCTGTGTGTGTTGTGTTTTTCCGGACCTGTATGGACCGTCATTTTACACATAGCTACAAGTACCAACCATTTGTGTAACATACAAATCGCCTATTGGACTTGTTTGCATACGATAGTTGGCATTTCTGTGGATTTACTACTAATAGAACAGTTCATTGCTCTATATTGCCCGTTTTGGTTTGTGAGATCTTCCACAATGCGCCTGCGTGTGACTACAGTTGTGTGCCTAATGTGCTGGCCATTAGTCTTGCTCATATCTTTTGGCGTTGTTTACCGCAAAATACCAGAAAAGAATATCTGTATTGAGCAAATGGCACAGCTTGGAACTTGGATATTATTTTTCCTTGTGTCAATCACTACTTTTTTAGTAATTTCCTTTGTATTTAGTCTGCTCGTGTGGCGTAAAGTACGACACATAACAGCGGGACCGGTCGGAATTCTGTCCAAGACCAGGACTTCATCCATTGTCAATGCGTTCGCCATAAACCTCGTAGTTTCTCTCTTCCAGGTCCCGACAATCGTTGCAACCATTACGCTACAAACGTCGGACATAACAACCCATTTTAACCTTATAAGGTATTGTATGGAGGCTGGAGTATATGCATTCCATATTATCTATGGGATATTTCTCCCAGTATTGCTATTATCTAGATTCAAGGAGTGTCGGATTCAATTAATCCTTTTGTTGCTGTGTGGCTGTTCATCAAAATTTAGAGCAAAGATTGAACATAAAAGGACCTGTTTTTACATGGACGTGGAAGGGATTCCTGTGCACGTGGAATTGAATACGGCTGGGAATGGTAATAGGACTGGTAGTGTTTGCAGTCAAATGTAGGAAAAGACAACCCTGTATTTCAGCCTGATAGGGCAACGTGTGATATCCACATATTTCATTTGGAGGAAGATGGTTTCAAATTGTAAAATTGAGATTCCTACCCCAACCCTAGGGGCCAGGGTGGGGCCCCAAAGGGAAAATTAACCAATATTTCAAAAATCTTCTTCTCCAGACTCCGATGTACTTCATTCAATTTCAGTGGATAAAAAGAAAGATCATCAGGGTCTTTATTTAAATTATAAATTTCAGGACCCCAAGCTATCCGTTCTCCCTTAGGGAAGTGGTAAAGTTTACTATAGTTTATATAGGGAAATAACACTTTTTGGGTATATTTCATCCATTGTCAGCTGCAAATTACTCAAACTTAGTCAGAATCATCTTTGGTGAAAGAGGGTATTACATTGTAAAATTAGGATTCCTGCCCGATCCCCAGGGGCTAGGGCGGGGCCCCAAAGGGACTATTTACCAATATTTTCAAATTCTTATCCTTTGATGACATGACAAGTATTGTATTTCACTTAGTTTAAATGCTGATTTCCACATTACATCTAAACAATAACATAAAGCTACCAGTACCTATGATATAACTCAGGTGACCGCTAAGGCCCTTGG